GGAATAACAGGGCAAGAGGGGGGTTCAGAGGGTAAGAGAAGGGGGGTGCTGGGGTGCAGGTTCTATCCAGGAGACTTACCAGCCAGCCACCACACCTGCCTGCCTGCAGAGCTTAAAATGTTTCTGCCTGTTCAGCCCTGTGCTTGAATGAGTAACTGATCAGGAGAGTTGTGCTTGGTGGCTGCCTGTTATTCAAACAGGCAACTCCCATCAGCTGGTATCTGTCCAGAAACCGGCCAATGGGATTGTGCTGGGGACAGGAGCAGCATCTGAATTGTCTCCCCTCCCCTCCGAACTCAGAGAGAGCATGCCGCAGCTGCATTTCTGAGCATACCCACGACTGTATTTTACCCAGGCCTGATTTAGGGTGAGAGAAAAAAACAGAAGTTGACAGCATTCCGTTTATTTTTTTTACTTTTCTTCTCTTTCTCTGAAATGTACATAATTTACCGTGTCTTTCAATTCTAAATTACTGAATTCTGTGTCTATTAATTCTAAATTATAATTCATAGAATACTAGAACTGGAAGGGACCTCGAGAGGTCATCAAGTCCAGTCCCCTGCCCTTGTGCTGCTAGAAATAGGATTTAAGTTTCAGATTTTTGTTAGACCTATTATTCCTCCGCCAGGCTGTATATTCTACTGAGAAGAGGCAGCTGAAACAGTTTCTGTGGTTTCTCAATAAAACCAAAAACTACCTGAATATGTTCTAATATGGGTTTGTCACAGATGTTCTCTTTGACTTTTCACTCTATTTATTAATCCAAACAGAAGCTATAGAACTCCTTTCTAAAGAAAAACTATTCACATATCAAGGAATTTCAAATTCAGGTATCTGTCAGGTAGACAAAGGATACTATCCTACAGAAGTCATGCTTTAAGCATGAGCTCTGTGGAAGGCTGACTTTTGTCAGCAATGAATTCTTTATTTTTCCAAAAATATGAAGTGTTACTGCTGAAGAGAGCATCTTAAGACAGACAAACAGCACTAGTTAGCATGATAGTGTTCAGAAACAACTTTAGTTCTAAAATGCCAAGGATATAGCTGCAGGGAAAGGGGACACCAAGTACAGAGGCCAAGCAGCTTTTCAATATCTACTGAGGAGTCAAAATAGATGCTGTTTCCAGGCCCAAAGTGTCAAGGCAGAGCAAGACTAAAAACCCAGAGAAATACGCTCAAAGCCGAGACAACCAAAAGGCTTGTCATATAGATCTTTGTCAGACATAAGATGAGGCACAGATAAAGCAGTGCCTGAGCATAGGGGCTTTCACAGCATCAGTAGAAGAAAACCTTAAAGGGCAGGGAGGAAGGGGATGGGAAAAGACGTGCAGAAACTGAGTTGCAGAAGCTGTTTCCAAGATCCAATCCCAAAGACAGAGGAAAAAGAAACATACTAAGAACGGTCGTACTGGGTCAGACCAAAGGTCTGTCTACCCTAGGATCCTCCTGTCTTCCAACAGTGACCAATGCTGTTCAGAGGTAGTGAACAGAACAGGTACCGTGAATTAGCGTATATAACCCGCACTCGAATATAACCCGCACTCGTGTATAACCTGCGGCTTTTCCTGATTGTGTAGGAAAAGTCTTAAATAACCCGTGGATGAGTATAACCCGTGGGTTCTATATGCTAATTCATGGTGATTGCACATACCAGCTGCCAGCAGGGGAAATGGAGAGCACAGTGCACGCATGCTGGCCGGCCTGTGGGAGGGGAGCCGCACTTGCCCCCAAGCTCTGCGCAGCCACAGCCAGGAACAACCCACACTCCTCTGGGCGGGAGAATGGAGAGCACAGCACAGGCTTGTGAGTAAAAATAAATGTGTATACCCCACGGACATGTATATCCTGTGGGGCGGAGGGGAGAGGGGACTGTAAAAACATGTATAACCTATGGGTTATATATGCTAATTTACGGTAATCATCAAGGCTTTGTCTACACTGCAGAGTTTTTGTGGAAGAAATCTTCCGCAAAAACTTCTTGTGCAAAAGCGCATCCATACCTTAAAAGCACATTGCAAAAACAATGTGCTTTGGCGCTAGAGAGCATGCATACTGCATGGACTTCTTGCGCAAGAAAGCTCTGATTGCCGTTAACAGAATGGCCATCAGCAGAGCTCGACAAAGTATTGAATCTACTCGCCATGGCTGAGTAGATTTCAGCCGGGCGCCCCGTTCATTTGTGACATGCGCATGCACAATGCAGGTCTTGTGCATGCGCAGTGCAGGGTTGGCGAGCGGCTTTCACCGCCGTTCGTCAAGCCCTGGCCATCAGAGCACCTGTGCTGTTTCTGATAGGCTCTTTTTGCGCAAGAAACCGCTGCGGAGTGTCCACACATGCCTTGTTGTGCAAGAGCTGTAGTGCAAAAAGAAGTTATTCCTCGTGGGAAGAGGAATAACTCTGCCACCAAAAGCCCTCTGTCCTGTTGATTTCCTGGTTTTGCAGGGGGGGTTTGCACAAAAACACGTTTGAAGTGTGGATGCTCCATCGGTTTTTGTGCAAAAACCTTGTTGTGTAGACATATCCCAAGTAATCCCTCTCCTGTCATCCATTTCCAGACAAACAGAGGCTAGGAACACTATTCCTACCCATCCTGGCTAATAGCCACGGCTCGACAAATAGTGTAATCTACTCACCAATGGCGAGTAGATTACACCCCGGAAGAGCCCACAGAACGATCTGCGCATGCACAAAGCTCAGAACCGCGCGGCTGGCGAGCGGGGCTCACCGCTGCTTGGCGAGCCCTGCTAATAGCCAGTGATGGATCTAACCTCCATGAATTTATCCAGTTCTTTTTTTGAACCCTGTTAAAGTCCTGGTCTTCACAACATCCTCTGGCAAGGAGTTCCACAGGTTGACTGTGCGCATTGAATGAAGAAAAACTTCCTTTTGTTTGTTTTAAACCTGCTATCTATTAATTTCATTTGGTGACCCCAAGATGAGGGTTCAAGCAATGTTTTTCCCAACGTCTTATGTCCACCAAGCAGTTGTTCTGGAGCATTAAGATTACTAGAGAAGATACCAGATTAGAAAGTTGCCAGCCTTTTACAAAATTTTTATCTGACTGCTTCCACTGTTTTTTCTTTTGTGGAAAAGTATATTTCCAAAGATGTGCACACAAGTATAACTCTGAATAAACAACAAGCAGAGCAGAAAATGCTTATTTCACAATATTCAAAACAAATATAACTGTTCAATCTGTCCCCACAAACAAAAAACCCCCAAACACCAGTCCTCAGTAGGGACTAATCCCACACCAAGTTTCAAATTTCAATCAAATAGACAGAATCCTGTCAATTTAGGATTGAATCTCAACTGGTTAACACATTACAAAAGCAATTTCCCTTCTCTGGATAGTCATATCTCTAATCCAAAATACTGCGAATAACCCACTTCCACTCTAACTTGATTAGCTTCATTAACACAAGCAACTTCTTCCTTATATATACTCCTGCTTCTGTAACTTCCACTCCAATTCATCTGATGAAAGCTTATGCCCTAACAAATCTGTTAGTCTCTAGGGGTACGTCTACATAGCAGTATTATTTTGGAATAATTGATTTTATTCCGAAATAACATAGTGCGCGTCTACTCTACAAGATTTTATTTCGAAATAATGTTGAGCTGAAGGACTTTTTACTCTGACTCATGGACTTCGATTCATGGTAACTCTCAATTCACGATGAATAAGGGAAGCCAAAGGAAGAGTGTTCTTCCTTTGACTTCCTAATGTGTGGACAGCGCCAAAAGCCACACTAAGCTATTTTCACCAAAGCTACGCAATTGACGTAGTAGCTGAAGTTGTGTAACTTAATTCGACTTTAGTCGTGCTGCGTAGACATACCCTAAGATGTCACAGGACTCCTTGTTTTTGCAGATACAGACTAACATGGTTACTCCTCTCAGACTTTTCATAAAAAATAGGTTACTTATTATAGTCATGTTTCCCTCATCTAAAAAGATTTTCCTCAAACATTCCCCACAAACATTCGCATCTGAACAGAGATCAAGCACAGAATGCTTTATGCCCTAAGATGAAAAGTGGAAAAAAACTATGATTAAACTTATTTGCAATGTTAATATTCACTAGCAAGAAAATCATTAAGATAGGTAACAACTGAATATAATTTCAAATCTTTTTTCATCTTCATTGTGAAAGTTTGTAAAACACAGGTGGAAAAAATAAAGTTTAGAAAGCAGAAAAGTAAAGAGAAACTTTTCAAAAAGCAAATGATAACTTGAAAAAATAAAAATTTACAGAAGCAAATGGCTTTCAGGTGACGGACACACATTGCTACGCTGAGCTGTCCACCACTTCTATTCATAGCAATTTCTGTCAAACCAGCATAACAATCCACCTCCAGCAAACTGTCTCAATCCTTGCCCATGCCATGGAATTCCTCCCCCACAACTTGTCAAGAGAAGACAAGCAGAAATTTGAAAGCACTGTGTCATTTTGCCTTCCAGACACTCTATGAGTAGCTGGATGTTATGAGTGAGGTTGAGGACTGTGTTTATTTTTCTGGCATGGATATTTTCCTGGCGCAGTAAATGTACTGTTAAATTTTGTGGTTGTCAGTTTCACAAGATTTAGTTTTGGTAGTGTCCTCTGGTGCTGTGGCACACTTTTTCTGAGGTGAAATTTGAAGACACATGATTTTAAGATTTTGTTAAATTTATTTTCAGTAAAAGTCACAGGCAATAAGCAAAAATTCATGGGAGCCATGACATGTTTGTGACTTTTATTAGCAGCTGGAGGTCCAGCACCACAGCCATGGATGGCAGGGCAGGTGGTGATGGGGGAAGGGAGAGAAAGCCTGGCCACAGAATCTTTACACATTATCATAAACTAAAGGGTTGAAAAGGAAAAAAGTCCATCAGTTTTGTATGAGTTTTCTCGTCTTTCACTTGGTTGCAGCTAAGCAATGGAATTCCCCCAAAACTCTTGCATATTTGACAGCAGGAAGATAGAATTACACATCTTTTTTTGATTATTATTTACCCATTCCACTTCCTCTGTCCCTCCTGAGCCTATCACACCTCTGCATTTCTTACACATCCAAGTCCTTTTCTCTTCTTACACATCCAAGTCCTTTTTTCTTCTTACACATCCAAGTCCTTTTTGACTCCACCATCTATTTCCCCTCTGTGCTAAAGATGTGATGGAAGGAGAGACACAAAGGGAAGAGAGAACATAAGAACATAAAAACATAAGAACGGCCATACTGGATCACACCAAAGATTCATCTAGCCCAGTATTCAATCTTCTGGCAGTGGCCATTGCCAGATGCCCCAGAGGGAGTGAACAGAACAGGTAATTGCCAAATGATCCCTCTCCTGTCATCTATTTCTAGCCCCTGACAGAGGAGCCTAGGGACACCATTTCTGCTCATTCTGGCTAATGGAACTAATTGATGGACCTAACCTGGTCTTCACAACAGGACTTTAACAGAGTTCAAAAGAGCTATAATACTTAAAGCCTTGTCTACACTACGACATAAAGCTGAATTTATTGAGGTTAATTTTTAGCACCCGATTTTTGTAAAATGGAAGGTGCATGTCCCCACTGGGTGCAAATATTTAATGTAGTTTGAAGTAGTGCATCCCCAGTAGGGTGGCTACTGCCGACGTTGAGAGTGATGCATTGTGGGTAGCATTCTCACTCTTTGCGTTCTAAGTTATTCTTTCAGTATACACTGGGATGGCAACTGTGCAGCGGGTGATTCTGGGTATATGTTTCCCATAATTCACTCGTTTCCCTCCTTCCCCCCATTTGAAAGCAATGACAAACAGTCTTTTCATGCCCTTTTCCCCCTGGTTATCCATACAGACACCATGACAGGGTAAGCATGGAACCCATTATGGAACTCGTCCAGGTGCAAAGTATTATGTCTATCATATTAAACATGGCACACCTTATGCTGGAGTATATCCAGAGCATAGCCAGGGTCTACTGGAATGCGAATCAATCTCAGGAGGCCATGAACATATTCTTCTACAAAGCACGTGAGTTGAATGAATGACAAATGCTGTCAGCATTCAATCTTTTGGACACAGCAGAATGCCAGTTTTGGTACTATGGGACAAGCACAGACTTGCGGGACTGCATTGTGATGCAGCTATGGGATGATCAGAAATGACTGCAAAACTTTTGTATGCATAGGGCCACTTTCATGGAAGTCTGCAAATTGCTTTCCCCCACCCTGTAGTACAGAAATACCAGAATGAGACCCACTTTTACAGTTGAGAAGTGAGTGGTAATAGCCCTGTGGAAGCTTGTAACACCAGACAGCTACTGGTCAGTTGGGAATCAATTCAGAGTGGGGAAATCTTCAGGGAGAACTGTTGTGTTCCAAGTAGCCAAGGCAATCAATACCCTTTTGCTACGGAGGGTAGTGACTGTAGAAAACATCCAGGACATAGTGGAGTGCTTTGCTGCAATGGGATTCCCTAGTTGTTGGGGTGATAGATAGAACTCATACCCCATGTAGGCACTCAACCATCAAGCCAAAGAGTACATAAACTGCAAGGGGCTCTTCTCAATGGTGCAGCAGGCGCTGCAAGGGCTGTTTCATGGATATCAACGTGGGATGGTTGGGAAAGGTACATGACGTGTGCATCTTTTGAAATGCCAATAGTGATACTTGGAGATTCAGCCTGACCCTTGCTCCTGTGACTCATGAAGCCATACACAGTCAGCCTGGACCACAGTAAGGAGCAGTTTAGCTACAGGCTGAGCAAGTGCAGAATGATGGTAGAATGTGCCTTTGGGTATTTAAAAGGAGGTTTATCAGTCTACTGACTAAATTAGTTCTCAGCAAAAGCAACTTCCCCATTGTAGTGACAATGTGTTGTGTGCTCCTTAATATCTGTGAGAGTAACGGGGAAAGTTATATGACGGGGGAGGGAGAGGGGAAATCGATGCACTGTACCTAGCTACAAATTACGAGCAGCCAGACACCAGGGCAATAATGAGAGCATAGCAAGGGGTACTGCAAATCAGAAAGACTATGAAACACAACTTTATGAATGGTCAGACAGCGATATGAGTCATGCATGTTGCTCTTGATGAAGTGCCCTGCATTAAGCATGCTTGCTTGTAAAACCTGTAAACCCTCCAAGCCCTTCAACACAAGCAAAAAAGAGACTGTTTTTCAGAAATTATGTGTTTTTATTTAGGCAAGACAGCAAAGACATAAAAGGAGTCCAGGGTGGGATCTTTGGAGGGGAGGGTGGGATGGGAGGCAGATACATCACAACCGTCTGCTCTAGGAATTATCTCTGGAAATTGAGTGAGAGTAGCCCCTCCACCCCAGCACCTTCTGCGCCACTGGGAGAGGCGGCTATGGAACTCGGTGAGGAAGGAATGTGGGTCCACAAAGGTTGGAGGGGGTTCCTGTGCATGTGGCTGTCCTGGAAGGCTACCATCGCAACCATCAGGACCATCGATACTCTCTCCTGATTCTTCACTTCCAGTTCCCTGCACGCTCTCCTGTCCTCACACTTCGCTCGCATATCTGCAGCAGCGTATTTCTCCACTCACTTAACAAGTAGGAGGATTGCATTTACTCCTTGACCATGTCATCCCTAGTAAGTTTTCGTCTTCGGATTTGTAATAGCTGGTCAGCTAACAGAGCTGGGGAGCGTGCAGCATGGTCGGTGCTATACCACGGTAATGAAAAGTGGAGGGCAGATGTTACAGGGTATACATTGTTGAGCGTAAAACCTAATCTCTTAGCATAAAAGGAAGATTTCCCTAAAGTCAATTGGGGTGTGTTATGTACAATGCCACAATTATGATTTTAAGCACCCACTATGCAGCAAGTTCACCACTGAGATCTTAGGGGAGCACCTGGACTCGGTTTCGTGGCAGACATGGTAAGGGACATGCCGGGGCTCGAGCCAGGTGGGGGGAGGAGAGGGAGGGAATCCAGGCATGGCGGCAAGGCAAGGCAGGGGCTCATGTGTATTTGGCAATTCCCATTTGCCAGTGGAGTGGAAATTTTCATTCCTGCAGGAGCACTGGGTGGGAGTCCAGGCAGGGTAGGGGCTCAAGCCATGCTTCATTGGGGATGAGCAAATGGAGGTTTACTGAAGAGGTATAAGTTAATAGCTTCCCCTGCTTCATCCAGGTTTCCATGCACAATATCAGTCTTCTCCAAATCACACAGAGTGCTAAGAGTGGATGCTGAGTGCATGTGGCCAAAAACCTGGACCTTATGCTCTAAAGCTTTGTGCTGCAATGATGCCAAACCACTTACTGCTAGGGAAAGGCATCCTACTGTGGAGGACAGAATAAGGCAGACCTCTCCAGAAACCTTGTGAGGATAAAAGAGTTCCTCTATGAGACCTTTATGGAGATGTGCAAGGATGATTCCCACTCCATCTCATTAACAAGTTGTTCCAGGGACCCCACACTGTGTGTAGACAGTGGTTGCCACAGATTATACCCAATTGCCTTACCTCACTTGTAGCATGATAAAAAATGTGAACTCACCAGAAGTGACACTCCCAGCCCCCTTGACACCGGGGCTGGCTGCAAGATGTCCTAGGAGGAGAGGATTGTCTCCAAAGTTATACAAAGGTTCTGGCTATTGTTGAGATTGGCTGCCCCACTCGCCTGCTGACCACTGCCCTCCTCCTCATCCACACTGTCCTCCACGTTGCTGCCAGGGCTGCCAGAGGAGTGTTTGGGGAGGAATCCACGGACTTCACAGAAATTGTCACTATTTGATCCAAGGAAAATCAAATTCAAGAGCATATTGTGGGTGCATAATTAATGAAGGAGTAAAGCGACTCTCCCATCTGTTGCTAGGTGGAGTGGGATTGAAAGTTTCCAGATGGAATCAATATAGTCTGATCTCTATAGCACATTCATTTGGGCTTCTCTGGAGCAGCAAAAGTCTCCACAGAAACCAGGCTTGTACCCCAACCTCTATGGGTATGTCTACACTAGCTCGGTAGTTTGAGCTAGGTAGGCAAATGAGGGCAACCGGAGTTGCAAATTTAAATATCCTGGGCTTCATTTGTATCTTCCTGGGCGCTGCCATTTTTAAATCCCCCTTATTCCGAACTCCGTGCCCGTGGCTACACGCGGCACGGAATAGGCGGTTCGAATTAGGATCTCTAATTCAAACTACCGTTACTCCTTGTGGAACGAGGTGTACCGATAGTTTGAATTAGAGATCCCAATTCAAACTACCTACTCCGTGCCACATGTATCCGTGGGCATGGAGTTCGAACTAAGGGGGATTTAAAAATGGTGGCGCCTGGGAAGATGCAAATGAAGCCTGGGATATTTAAATCCCGGGCTTCATTTGCAACTCCGGTTGCCCTCATTTGCCTACCTAGCTCAAACTACCGAGCTAGTGTAGACATACCCATAGAGGTTGGGGTACAAGCCTGGTTTCTGTGGAGACTTTTGCTGCTCCAGAGAAGCCCAAATGAATGTGCTATAGAGATCAGACTATATTGATTCCATATATTTTCTAGAAAGTCAGCCATGATTCTGCTGAATGCAAGGTCATTTGGCTGACACATTTCTGTTTAGAGAGACAAGCTGGGTGAGGTAGTGTGGCCAGACAGGAATCCCCCTCTCCCTCGTAACATCCATCTTTGCTTGCCTGGAGCACACAGGGCATAGACAGAGCAGTAAAATCAGCATAGTCTTTGATGCCTTGACAGAAGGCCCGGATATGCTGGCTACTGTGATCCTGGATGGCTGTAAACAGAGATACACCAATTGCTGACCTAGAGGCTGCCGAGGAGTGCCCTTGACTGAAACCTATATTGATACGATCACACAGCCGTCCGCGGGGGGAGGAACCTCCCACCCAGTAAAGAATGTCCAGTACTCACAATTTAGTTATCTCTCTTGCAAGTGTAAATTAAGTTGAAACTCCCTTGTAAGAACTGGTGTCACAAAGACGGACCAGTACAATTTGGCCTCTTAGATAAGAAAGAGGATACAGGCCCCTATGGGTATAAAGATGGGTCCAGCAGCACACTGACTCTGAGCGTCAATCTACCATCTATCTGCTGGTCAGGTGAGGCGATTGGCCTCCCGAGGTTCCACGGGGATGCCCACCTCATATTCATACTGGCCCTGGCCTGATACGCTGGAGTCGAGAGGCACAGAAGGGGGTAAAAATTGTACCTGGATGTGGTCCTTTGTCTTAAGTGTACACATAGACTTAGAGCTCTTTAAAGATTAAACTGTCACTTGGTACCATTATTTCTATTTTCTATTTTTATTTTCTTTTTAACCATTTTTAAGATCTATATTTGCTAGCAGTTAAGAAATAGAGCAATAGCCATTGTAACCATATGATTTATACGCTTCTTTAATAAACCTGTAACTGTTTAAGCTTTAACCTGACTCATTCAGTTGCTGTAACAGAACCAAGCACAATTTAAAAGAACTACAGCCGGTCATAAGGGACAGATACAGGCAGAGCTGGGCATTTGGATCGTGTTGCTTCCAGGGGACAGATCTGTAGGGGCATCTCTCAGCCTTCCCTAGGCTGCCTGCTGCGAAGGGATCATGTATCCTAGTAGTCAAAATCTGAGGTGTAATAAGCTCTCCCTGTAAACTCTAGGGCATCTGTCAGCCTGTTGGCTGCCCACCGCGAAGGGACCTGGTCCTAGCGGTCAAAGACACGGACGTTAAACTTCTCAGGGTGCCTGTCAGCCTTCCCTAGGCTGCCCGCTGCAACAGGACCTTGTGTCCCAGCAGTTGAAGACTTGGGTGCAACACACACACACACGCACTGCCCTGACCATCGGCTGACAGGTAGTATCTCTTATTGGACCAACGTCTGTTGGTGAGACTCTGAGTAAGAGCTCTGGATAAACTCAAAATCTTGTTTCTCACCAAAAGAAGTTGGTTCAATAACTGATATTACCTCACCCACTTGGTCTCTCTCGTATCCTGGGACCAACACAGCCTCAACAACATTGCAAATATTTCTGTTCAGGCATATTTCGCTGTATAAAACTTCTTACTTCACCATTCCACTTGTAGCTCTGATTTGCTCTTCCATAACCTAATGAAAGAGTCTGTGATTATGGAAAGCTGGCCTTTATTCTTCCTTGTTAATTCAATAAAAAAAGTCTCCTTTACAACTTGCTTTTTAATTTGACTGCTCTTTTAACCTCATTTTTTATTTTTGCACATAACTAAGTCAATTCCATTATTCAACAAATTTAAGCATACCTTTAAGATTTCACATGTAATTATATCTACTTTCTGGAGTTCCTTTGCCATCTATAAGTCCCTCTTTTATTTATTATATGTTGGGATTCTTTTAAAAAGGATTTGATATACCCAACTCATCTTTCATTTTTACTTGTTTTCTGTTGGTGCTTCCATAATTGTCACTTCAGTGCTTGACTTAATTTAAGACTTAACTCTTAGAGATTTCTTCAGCATGATCTTATATGTACAAAATGGGAATGGAAAAGTTTCTTTGTCATTCAAAAAGAAAGTGTAATGATGTCAGTGATAGCTATAGGTCACATCTCATAGCATCGGATGCTAAAATCCATTCAACAATTCTATTCCCGATCATCTGACTTAGTCTTGCTCTGAAATTCAGAATCTGAAGAGTCTGTGTTAAAATTTGGGAATTCCACCAAGTTTGCTTCTAAGAAGAATAGGACTATCAAGTTTTAGTGATTTCATCTGCTGCAGGAAAAAGTGCAGATAGTGAACTCAGCATTTGGCAAATGAAAGAAAGGAAGGATCAGGTAATATTTTTATGTTTTTGCGTGCAGTTTTGTTAATGATTGGGAGATAATCCCAACATAATTTTTTGTTTGTCTAAAACAGTCTGCCAGTCTCCTTTAAAAAGTGAGATTTCCTACCTAAAGTTGTTATGGTTTGATTCTGCATAAAACTGCAGCAAATCCTCTTTTTAGCAAAGCTTCTAATGCTGTGACTGCACTAGACTGTTGCTTCCACTAGTGCAGCTTTTCTAGTGAGTGCTATCATGGACTTCACTGGGGATTACAATCACAGGCATTTTAACTCAAGAGCAAATCTAAATGGCGAGGTTGTTAAAACAATGGAAGCATCGAGAATTCTGTCTTAGTGCTCCCACCATTGCAACCTTCAGTGGAACTGCTCTCAAGGGAAACTCAAACGGCTAGAGTAGACAGGCCTATTTGTCCATTTACTGCTATGAGCCCAGCTGCAAAATGCACATTCAGCAGTAATATGGAAGCAACAGAAGAGCTAAACTTCAGCAAATCCACATTTACCTTATAGCCAGCAGGCTATCTAGCTAGAAGTAGAGACTGTGCCACAAAATGATAAAAATACTATGGTGGATAAAAGTGCATTTTCTTTTTTTAAGTTTTGTGTGCTTCCTGTTTTATATTCCTCATAAGAATGGCCAGAGATACATCCATCTAGCCCATATCCTGTCTTCCGACAGTGGCTAATGCCAGATGCCCCAGAGGTAGTGAACAGAACAGGGAATCATCAAGCAATCTCTCTCTCGTTACCTATTCCCAGCTTCTGACAGAGGCTATGGACACCATTTTATCTAGTTCTTTCTTGAACCCTGTTAAAGTCCTGGACTTCACAACTTCCTCTGACAAGGAGTTCCACAGGTTGATTGTGCGCTGCATGAAGAAAACTTCCTTTTGTTATTTTGAACCTGCTACCTATTAATTTGATTTGGTGACCCCCTAGCTTTTATGTTATGGGAAAACAGTGTTACTTACCTGTAACTGTTATTCTTCGAGATGGGTTACTCATGTCCATTCGAATGAGGTGCATGCGTGCCGAGTGCACGGTTCCCAGAGCATTTTTTCCCAGCAGTACCTATCGGGCCGGCAGGTTGCCCCCTGGAGTGGCGCCACTACAGCAGAGCATAAGTACTCCTGCCAGCCCTCCCCCTCCTCAGGTCCTTCTTGCCGGAACAACTCCGACACAGGGGAGGTAGGGGGGGAATCAAATGGACATGAGCAACACATCTCAAAGAACAACAGTTACAGGTAAGTAACCCTGTTTTCTTCTTTGAGTGATTGCTCATGTCCATTCGAATGAGGTGACTTCCAAGTTAGCCCCCCGGAGGTGGGGTTGGAGCCACCTTTTTTAGCTAACAGAACAACCACATCAGTATTCAAGTACAAACAGTAACTTTAATCAAGCAGTGCAACCATAGACCGTAACACAGAACTCAAACAGGTAGGCACAGCAGGCACGTAACACTACAGCGTGCCACTCATCCATCCCCCTTTCCATTTCTGTTTTACAGAATAGAGCCCAACACCGCTACACCCGAGGTGGAATCTTCCCGCACCTGTTGAGTGAGGGCATAATGCTCGGTAAACGTACGGACCAAGGACCACGTAGCAACCCTACAGATCTCAAGAATTGGGACTTGGACCCCAAAGGCTACAGACAAAGCGCGCGCCCTAGCGGAATGTGCTGATACGCAGGGCGGCTCCCTGTGTGCCAGAGCATAGCACTCCCTAACGCAGGAGGATATCCATCCCGACAGCCTTTGGGCCAAAACCAGTGTCCCTTTCACCTGCTCATCATAGGCAATAAACAACTGTGATGATTTGCGAAATAGCCTCGTTCTGTCTATATAAAACGCCAGTGCCCTTTTCGCATCCAGGGAGTCCACCGACCGTCACGGGCGGTAAGAAGGAACTAAAGAGGGGGAGGGCCAGCAAGAGTACTTATGCTCCGCTATAGCAGCACCACTCCAGGGGGCAACCTGCCGGCCCGACGGGTACCGCTGGGGCAAAAATGCTCCAGGAACTGTGCACGTGGCACGCATGCAACTCATTCGAATGGACATGAGCAATCACTCGAAGAAGAACAAGTAAATAACTTTTCCTTATTCACTTTTTCCACACCTGTCATGATTTTATAGACCTCTATCATATCACCCCTTAGTCTGCTCTTTTCTAAGATGAAAAGTCCCAGAGTTTTTAATCTCTCTTCATATGGGACCCATTCCAAACCCCTAAGTAATTTTTGTTGCCCTTTACTAAACCTTTTACAATGCCAATTTATCTTTTTTGAAATGAGGTGATCACATCTGTATGCAGTATTTAAGATGTGGGCATACCATGGTTTTACATAAAGGTGTTCTCTGTCTTATTCTCTACCCCTTTTTAAATTATTCCTACCATTTTGTTTGCTTTTTTCACAACCACTGCATACTGAGTGGATGTTTTCAGAGAACACATGCACATTTAATAGTAGAAGCGTGTACATCACTGCATTCTGAATTTTTTACTTTTCACTTATTTAATTCAGTCGAGCCCAATGAAAAATCTTGCACACTTCTCCCTCCTCCCTCCCCTGCCTGAATGGTTAAAATTTGGCAAAGATATAGTAATTGTAGCAAAATGCAGGACAATGTAGCACTTTAAAGACTAACAAGATGGTTTATTAGATGATGAGCTTTCGTGGGCCAGACCCACTTCCTCAGATCAAATAGTGGAAGAAAGTAGTCACAACCATATATACCAAAGGATACAATTAAAAAAAAAGACCTTTTACATCTGCACTTGAAAGGGAATCCTCTGAACTGTCATTCATGTTAAAATTCGACACTTTCCAAAAAGGACTCAACAAACATTTGAACTATCTCACCCATTACCAAGATAGTTTCCCCAATTATCACCTCTAATACCATTAACTCACAAACATCCCACTCTCCCTACCTCTAATATCATCAATTCACAGACACTTACCTTCCTTCCTCCCCCTCCCCCACCCCGCATCTCCCTTCTGTTCTGCAATGTGATTTGTCCTTTTCATATTTGTTCTTTTTTTTAATTGTATCCTTTGGTATATATGGTTGTGACTATTTTCTTCCACTATTTGATCTGAGGAAGTGGGTCTGGCCCACGAAAGCTCATCATCTAATAAACCATCTTGTTAGTCTTTAAAGTGCTACATTGTCCTGCATTTTGCTTCAACTACCCCAGACTAACATGGCTACATTTCTATCACTATAGTAATTGTAGGCATCCTTTACCAGACAGGCGTCTGAATTTAATTAGGAGTGTTCCCGTTGGGAAGATCCTGAGTGCTGCAATTCAGTGATGGAGCCTACAACTCCCACGATGCCTTGAAGGACAGAGAGGGAAACTTCTTTCCTGGGGAAGGCAGGGAGAGCATGCCATGGGCTCTTTTGGAGAAATGTTGAGATTACTTTTCTGGAGCTTTACCCATGCCAAGAGCTCCTTCAAGGAAGCCAGAAGCTGCTACTGAGAGCCTGCTGGGGCTTGGATTAAGCAGGGAGCCTCAGAGACTGTTGACAGGCTTCACTGGAGTCAGGACAGAAACAGTTGCTGACTGAGGTGGGCCTGCAGTGCAGGCAGCACCAGTAACCACTGCCTTTCTGTTTAGAGAAGTGCTTGCAAAGGAACAGGGACAGCAAAGAGACTTCAAGGGGCTGAGTCTGCAAAAAAGTGGAATGCTCTTTTCATCTAATCAGAAGCCAAAGTTGCTGACATCCGGTTAATACAACTCTAATCTTCAAAACGGGTGCGCAATTTGGAATGATCCTAAATTAGATATGATCTGCCCATTGTTAACTTGGCTAGACTGATTCACTAGACCAGTGTTTCTCAAACTGTGCTCCACGGAGCCCCAGGGCTCCGAGAGACATCTCCAAGGGATCCACGAGGTTGACAAACTGGAAACATCAATAGGTACAACACATACAATCAATGGACTGCTGGGGCTCTGCATAAATTTTTACGCATGTAAAGGGCTCCGGAGCCCAAAAGTTTGAGAACTGCTGCACTAGACCAGTGGTTCTCAAAATGTGGTCTGCGGACCACTAGTGATCTGTGGCTGCCTTCAAGGTGGTCCACAGCTCGAGCTCAGCCCCCTCCTTCCTCCTGCAGTGGGGCATCTGTGCTGGCACGCCAGCCTCATCCTCCCTCCCCTGTGAGATTGAAGCACCAGTTTCCTGCTGGGAGAGGGAGAGGACAGAGAAAGCCCTGAGCCTCATTGTCTGATCCAGCTCACAGGGAAGAAGCACTCCTCTGGCCAGGGCAACAGCAGTGCACAGGAGCACTGCCTGGAGGCTTTCCCCGCTACTCCCATTGGCCAGAACCTGGCCAATGGGAGCAGCAGGAAGCCGTGCCTCGGAATGGTGCGGGGCATGAAGACAAGTAAATGCGTCCCCACCCCCTCATGCCCAGACCCTGCACCCCCAGTCCTCTCACGCACCCAACCTGCCAAGATCCTGCACCAATAGCCTGCTCCTGCACTCTCCCCCTTGGTAACAGACCCTTTCCCCTGCCTATTGTTGCACCCACCCTTGCTTCTGCACCGCCTCTTGGCCACACACTGCACCTTCCCATGCTCTTGCCCCTGCCCCTACCCAGACACCCTACTCCCAGCCTGCTCCTGCATCCTACCTCCCATACAGACATTGCACCCTCACCCCCTCCATCACCCTACCTCCTGCCCAAATCCTGCAGCCCTGTCCCACACACTGAACCTCCCATTTCTGTTCAAACCCAGAGCTTAGGGGAGGGTCCACAAAATCCACTAACCCTGGAACCTTAGAAGAGTAAATCTGGCCTATGGGAAGCTCGGAACCTCCGTCAACCCTCTCCCTCCCGCAGTGGAGCCAGAGCAGGGAAGTGTCTCAGTTGAGGGCAACATCAGTCAGATGTGGGGTTTTTTAGAGGGGTTTTCTTTTTTTTTGATTTCTTACCTGTGTGGTCTCTAACTGATTTTTCTGTGGTTCAGTGGCCTGCTACCCAGAAAAGGTTTCCCACCTATGCCGTAAATAAAGAAAACATGGGACTCTTTTGTGTTGAACATAAATTAATATTTTACATTATTTAAAATGAAGTTCGATAAACTAACATTAGAGAGTTAAAGCACTTAGTCTGTTTAATAATTTAAATTAATATTTGCTTTCTTACTGGTTAAATTAAACCATTCTCCCTAGCTGCAGCACTAGCAAAAAGGCTCAGCATCATTTTATAATTAACGGCGAGTTTCCATTAGCAACTGGTGGTCCATGAAAAGGATTGTCTTGAGCCAGGTGGGCTATGGGCCAAAATTCTGAGAACCACTACACTAGACCAACTGATTGTTATCCCCGGCTACAAAATCTTCAAGCATGCACTTGCAATCATTTAGAACTCTGAAATCCAGAAAAGTATGCACTCAAGGGCGATGTTCCCTCTCACTTTTTCCATCCATGTGCAGAATAAATGTTATGTGCACTGAGGCATGTGCAGATGTGCACCAACAGTAGAAACATATGCTGTTATCTGTGGGCACTCTGGGTGCTCTGCTAATCAGGTGGACATCATCTGAAGCATCTGAATCTCTCCTGGGTGGCTGCCCAAGCTTTTCAGCTTACAGGGAATACTGCTCAGGTGGAATAAATTGTGACAGTATAAATGCAGTTATATAAGTTTAATTTACTATTGTAAACTGTATTTGTTAATTGATTTGCACCTCAAATAGCATATTGTATCCAGTTCTGGGTTCCACCTTTCAGGAAAAATGAATAAAGTCCAGGGAATGGGGAAAAAAAAAAGTATTAGCCGTCTAGAAAACAGGATCTATGAGGGAAGACAGAGAGGACAGGATAACAATTTTAAGGTACATAGAACATTATTACAAGGAGGAAGGAGAAAAATTGTTTTCTTTGACTTCCGAAGATAGGACAAGACGCAATGGGCTTAAATTATAGCAAGGATAGTTTTGGTTGGATATTAGGAAAAGCTTCCTGTCAGGATGGTTAAGCACTAGAATAAATTGCCTAGGGAGGCAGTGGAATCTCCATCATTGAAAAGTTTTGAGAGTAGGTTAGACAAATACTTGTCAGGGACATTCTAGAGAATACCTAGTCCCCCCATGAGTGAAGGTGACTGGACTGGATGATCTTTTGAGGTCCCTTTCAGTTCTATGATTTATCAAACTGTCGCTTGGTGATCTAAATTAGTGACATTTAATGTCAGTCTATTATACAATGTTAAGTAAAGGTAAATTAACTCTAAGCATATATTATTTAAAATTTGTATTTTTGAGTTAGACCCATTGCACAGATTATCCTAGGTTTACTCCTGGAGAATCCCAAAGGTGAACCAGTGAGTGTGTACAGGGTCCAGCCAGGTGGAGGCACTAACTAGGGATGCTGAAATGTGTTTGTGTAAATGTGTATTTACACTGAAATTTTCAGCAGGCAACATTTACACATGGAGGTTGGAGGGAGGTGGGCGCCAGTGTTCTCATGGAGCTGGCTGACCCCCCCCCGCCCCAACTTCCACGCTGCTGCCTCTGAGCCCAGGCTCATCAGTTAACTGTGTACTCGGCTACATGTTCCCATCCCTAGCACTGACCATTTTAATTCCTACACATCCTGGCTAACAGCCATTGATGGACCTATCTTTCTGAACCCTATTGAAGTCCTGGTCTTCACAAAATCATCTGGCAAGGAGTTCCACAAGTTGACTGTGTGTTGTGTGAAGAAATACTTCCTTTTGTTTGTTTTAAATTTGCTACCTATTAATTTTATTTAGTGACCACCTTGTTCTTGTGTTATGGGAGTAAATAAATAATTTTTCCTTATTTACTTTTTCCACACCTGTCATGATTTTATAGACCTCTATCATATCCCTCCTCAGTCTCCTCTTTTCCAAGATGAAAAGGTGGAGAGAAGATTCCCAGCAATCCAACTCCTTTACTGTGCCTGAGCACACAAGTGAATGTTGCCTGCTCTTGAGTAAACCACAGGGGAAGGGGGTGGGTGGGTTACACAACTAAGAGGGTCTTATGATGGAAACATTGGCCAATTTTAATAATACACGGTACTAACAGCTACCCCTATAATCAAACAAATAATAAAATAATAACAGAAGGTAGATCTAGGGATATAAAATCCCATTTAATCAGTAAACCAGTAAAACATAAGGTTTATATGCTTAACTGATTAAGTAGGATCCAGGGTGGGGGACCACTTCAGCCCAGCTAGAGCTGCCCTCAGCCCAAGGGGCTCCCAGCTCCCGCCTCAGTCCGCGTGGCCCCTGTGGGGCTGGAGCAGCCGTGAGTCCATAGCAAGCCACAGGTTATCTGGTAAGGGTGATGCTCTTGGGCTGGTTATCTGGTAAGGGTGATGCTTACCAGTAAACTGATTACCTGTTCACATCCCTACATAGAATTAGGCCCTAACAGTAAAAGATGCCAGGAAAACAATGTGGCTGACAGAAGTTAGCCAACCAGTTCAAAATAGGAAACTGTGATTTGCTTAAGAGGATGCTGGGAAAGCAGAAAATCTGGTTTTCAAAAGCAAGAACATAGTAGGAGGCACACACCGTAAGTGTGATTTTCTTATCTTTCTACTTATTTGTTTCTGTAGAAACATTTCCTTATAGCTAGAGACAGGAAATTAGGCAATATACAAATTTACTTTAAAAAGACAGCTTTGCTTTCCCTTCCTGTCCATCTCTAAAATTTTCTGATTAGTATCTCTGACAGGGTACATGTTTGTGGGGTTTTTTTTAATTAGATTAGGATTTTTTGTTTTTAAATAAGGGCAAGATATAACTACTGGAGTAAGTACATTTTCTTCTAAATTGATGTGTTCTAAAACCAGCATGCTAAGTTACTGAAGAACAAGAAATAACACTTAGAGATAGCCTCATACTATTTCCTGATAGTGTGGGAGTGGAGAGCTTTATAAACATAATTCCCCAAAAACTCAATATACTCAAAAACTCAAAATTTCTAACTGTACAATCCTGCCAGTGTTCCCTCTAAGCTGTGAAGCAACACTCACCCACAGCTGCTTAATGAGTCCCGCCCAATCAGGGGCTCAGGGCTTGCACATGGTGCTGCCTGGCCGGGGGGGGGGAGGAAAGAAGGGGGCAATTCTCCTGCAGCGACAGCAGCAGCTCCTTGCTGAGGACAGAGCAGCGAGACTCTGCCAGTTGAGAAGCGCCTGTCCATGGCTGCTGCAGCTCCAGCAAGCATACCCAGAGGACTTCATGTCCCGCACTGGAGGACAGGCAGACACACACACAAGCAGACACACAAATAAACTCTCTGAAATATATAGTAGATAGCTGTCCCTTTCTCCACCCCTGCCTTCGGCTCACCCAATGAAGTTATAGCTATCCTGGTCCCCATCTTTGGCCTCTTGCTGCACCCTGTGGTCATTCTGCTGTATAGCTGTCCCTCGTACCAGACCCTGTTCCTTCCTATTTTATGAGAAACAATTGAATTTCAGGCACATCCCATTGTTCTGGCACAACCATACCCTTACCTTGCTTTAAGTTATGATAAGAGGAAAGCAGCATTCCAAATGTGGTGGTCCTAGCTCTTAGAGTATGTCTAGACTACAGGCTTTTGTCAACAGAGGCTTTGTCGACAGATACTTTCGACAAAACTTCTGTCGACAAAGAGCATCTAGACTACATTCAGTTCTGTCGACAAAGCAAGCCGCTTGTCAACATGAGAGTGTAGATGCAAAGGACAGTGTAGATGCAATAATGCCTTCTGTCGACAGAACTCTGTCAACAAAAGGCATTATTCCTCGCAAAATGAGGTTTACTGCCGTCGACAAAATTGACGAGTTCTGTCGACATTATGTCGACAGAACTCGGCGGTAATGTAGACGCAGGTATAGTTTTGTCGACAAATGTCGATTTTTGTTGACAAAATCCTGTAGTCTAGACACACCCTTATTGTTTAGGAGGAGTTTTTGAACAAATAGACTTACAGACGGACAGAGAGATACACATCTCTAAAATATATACAAGTTGGACCTTCCTGATCCAGCACCCTCAGGACCTGACTGGTCCCAAATGAGATTTGCCAGACCAGGGGAGGCTTTTTCCCTCCTGGCTTGTGCTAAACTGCTGTCCCTCCACCCTACTCCATGCTTGGGAGGGCCAAGTCCACCCCACTGCTGCCTGGTCACTCCCTGGCCCCACTGCGGCTGGTGCTGAAGCTGCATGGCTGGGGCTGAAAATCCCTGTCCACTGCCAGGGCCAGAACTGTGTGGCAGGTGCTGGAACTGCATAACCAGAGCGGTCTGTCTGCTGCCAGAGCTGCACAGCCAGAGACAGAGCTGCCACTGGGGCTGGAGCTGCACAGCTAGAGCCAGAGCTCCTTGGCTGCCACCGGGGCCAGAGCTGCACAGCCACTGCCAGCCCCCGGCTATTACCCAGATGTCAGGGCCAGATTTCCCCACTGTGTCCCCTGCATAGGGCTCCTGGCTGAATTGCCAGCCTCCCCTGCTGCACTCCTGTCTTGCAGCCAGACCTCCTTACACCTGGACTCTGTGGTCCATGAACATCTGTGGTCCTGCCAGACCATGGATGTTGCCAGACCAGAGAGTCCTGGATACGATTTTCACTGGTACTTTATTGGTGGTAGCTTCAATGTGGCCAAAGAGGAAAGGGATCACATTTTCAAAGTCTGCTGAGTAAGAAGCCTAGGTCTCATTGAACACCACTAGAATTCAGACTCCTGTCTGAATAGGCACACCTGAAAGTTCTGAGACCAATAGTATAGAATCCATCATTATATTTAAAGGATAATTTGTGCACTTTGTAAGCTTCAGACTAGCTATTTGTATCACTACTGGAACTGTCATTGCACCTTCTCAACTTCCCCTGGAGGAAGCTCACAAAATCTATTTGGTGACTCTTCACTGATTTGCGTAAGCACCCTCTGAGACAATCTCCAAAACAGTCTAAGAATGGCAATAAAAAAAAAACCCTGTAAAACTGACATCATGCATTTAACAATTTAAAAC